AGAGAGCAGCTCTGGCTGAGGCAGGGAGTGATGGGTCCCAGCTAGAGACTGGAAAGGGGAACAGAGGTGTGCTGGAAGAAATGTGGGAGAGTGGGGAAAGGAGGAATGCCACAGGAAACAAACCCAGTCTGAAGAAGGTCTGATGCACGTGCCTACCTGTGGCCCACCTGGGGATGGACGCAGGAGCGGGTGCGTGTCTGGCTCCCAGAGGAGCTCTCTTTGCACTGAGGTGGCAGCTGAGGGCCCACCCCCATCAGTTAAACATCCCAGGGAAATGAAAGAGCCCACCTCCTAATCCGGACAGCCCGCTTCCCTCCAGGACAGCCAGAGAGGAGCACCCGACTCTCCCAAGCAGCTTGGAGGCATGCCGGCAGATCTTGGGATGACTGTGTGCAAGCCAGGGCAGTCCTGCAGCTCCTGCCAGCACTGCAATCCTGTGGGATTGCTGGCTGGAGGTTCCTGGGTTCCCAGAGCCTGCAAGACTCACCCATGTGAGTCGTGGCACTGATCTCTCATGGATTTGGCTATCCTATACGCAGCTTGAGAGAGCCATGAAACAGGACGCAGGCATCCCAGTGGGGAGTAAAACAGAGCAGTGTCGTGAATAACACACACAGAGATGCCATTAACTTTTATAGTCTACTCTTAATGTGGCAACTGGAGATCAATCTCTAATTGAATGAAACGAGATTGGGTGAACAGTGCCATTTGGTTCCTTAATTTAATTTTCTGGCACTGGATTGTTCCCAGGGAAACCTCACTACTACTACTTCTCTTAAAATAATTTAAAGGTCTGCTCCACCACTTATTCACTTTCCCCATAATTCCCTTACTACCTCTGAGTGCGAAACACCCTGCAACTCGCTGATGGCTTTGCTGTGCACCTCTGACAGGCCTAGAAATCAAGTCTGCCTCCTCGTTTCCCCCTTTGCTCTTTTCAGATTCCCACTCAGTTCACAACATTATCTTCTGGACAGAAGGCCCACACAACTCACAAGAGAAGTATTTTTTAGTTTTCCCTAGTTTTCAGAGGCCTTGTGAGTGTGCCTCACAAAAGGCTTCCAACACACACCAGCTCTGCTCTGTTACCTAAGTTCTTCTTACGTCACCTTTCTAACAAGAATCTAAACTCGCCTTTTGTAAGAAAAAAGTCACCTCAAATCACCTCACAGGGGCCTTGGAGAAGGAGTGCACACACCACTGATGCAAGCTGTCACTGCTTGTCCTCTGTAATGTAGAAACTGGGGTAAATTCCTCATTGGCCACATATTGCCCAGCCCAGACACCGGGTCTGGGCCGCAAACCTATGCTCTCATATAAAAAAACCAAGGAGAAACAGGGACAGGTCTAGAGAAGGTAGTGTATGTAGCAGGAAGAATTGAGAATGGGTTAGGATATTTCTGAGCAGAAGGAGAGATGATTTTGCCTCTTTTTTTTTTTTTTTGTAGTAATGTCATTCTTGCATGAGATGCCCTGTTTTCCAAGGCCAGGCTTTACAGGGACACCAAACTCTCAGGGCTAGAAGACACTGAGCCAAAATCCTGTGGGTACTTTAGATACTTGAGAACAACTGGTGAGCAAAGCTGAGAGTGCTCTAAATGAACTGGAATTCCTCAAGTGGAGCAGAGTTGCCATGGTAGCTACCGGGGCCTGCACCACAGGATGAGGCCAAGACAAAGGGGATGGATAAGTTAATCGGAGGCAGCTAAATTGGCATTCAAATCTCTTTCCTGAGTTACACTGAATGCTCTGTAGACTCTAAATCCGGCCCACATCTCCCCCAGCTGTATTCCCGCTTTACGCACTACTTCTCTGTTCCCACCTTTGGTACAGCACTGAAAACCTGTGTTGGTTCAGTGTTTTACCTGCACCCCTAGGCCTGTTCCCCTCTCCACTCCGTCAGAGTACTGGTCAGTAACAGGTCCTTCTCCCAGCAGGACCAGTGTTCCTGCCTGTAGAACGGAGATCTCTAATGACTGCATCACCCCCTTTTTCAAGGCACTTGCATGAATTGGTGAAGCCGGGCTTCCCCTCCCCACTTGTGTTTTTTAGTAATGAGTGGCTACTGCATACATTTATGGCAACAATTGTCCTGTGTCAAACCTGGGCTTTTACAAAACATAGCAGAAACCGAGAGCGGGTATCACCAGAATGCAAATGTCTGGCAGGCAGCATGCAGGTTTGTCAATATTGGTTTTGGACGGCTTATCTTATCTCTAACTGCGAACCATCTCTTTTTATCAGTCAGAGAAGACCTTGATCACAGCTCCCATGAGAAATTCAGACAGGGCGCATGTCCCAAAAAAAACACAGCCTGTAAATTGATAAGAATGAAAAGAGAAATGGCATTTCCAAGAACATAACCTCCCAGCTACCTCACAGCTTGCTAGACCCTTAACCCTAACCCCTCCCCGCAAACAGTTGAGAGCTGTCTGAAAAAGAGCCAATAAGGCAGTCAAAAAAGCAAAATGTTCTTGCTTGGAAAAACATATTCCGGTGTTCAGGGTTGGAATCTTGCTACCTTCTAATGGACCCCTTTTATGGCCTCCGCTGTTGACTTCACTGTTAGAGTAGACAGACAAGGATCAACAGGAATAACAAGAAGTCCTAGCAACAGGGGGACAGAATATCAAACCTATCCTGCAGTTACAATCCCTTCTCCATTTGAAAAGGCCAAGCCAGACATAAGAAACCAATGCAGTGAGGTCATCTCCCCACACCCCTGGAATCAAACCCTGTGGGTCGCTTCCTTCGTGCACTGCATGATATTTGCACGTTGACTTATTTAAAACAAATGTAAAAAATTCTCTTTTCCAGAGCAGACAGTTAAGAACAATAAACAATTAACAAGTTCTTCCATGAGCAGTGGAATTAATGAGCCTGGTTTCCTACAGACAGATTTCGGATGACCCCTTCAACTGCCAGTCTTCTCAATGACTTCCGTCTGTCAGGGCAACAGGCAGCATAGGCTGGGGCTAGTTTGAGTCAGCTACGTCTGTCCAACTGACAAGTTGGCTGCTACCTCTTGGAACAGGACCATGAAATCCTTCAGCGAGGGCACTCAGTAAGGACTCTGTCCTCACAGTAATTTTCACAAAATATAGAAGAATGTGCTATTTCTGAGACTTTTATTGTTCTTATAAGAACCTGCCAACAAGTTCAAAAGTTGTGGGAAGAAGAGCAAGGACTCACTGACAGGTAACACAACTGGGGATGCCTCAAAGGGCCAGAAAAGTAGTATACTATTACACCTGCAGCCAGCATACGCCTCTGAAAGCCTCATGCAAGAGCTGGTGATTCGATAACAAAAATGTAGGCCTGTTTTAGGACTACATGGTAACTTTCTTAATCGTTGTCTATTTAGAGAGCTGAACTCACATCTGCTTTTTAAGAAAGAAAATACACACTTAGAAACAGCAATTTCTGCTCAGTATGTTTAGTATCTACGAGCACCGCTTAATGTGCCCCCATGAAATGCACGGGAAGAAAAACAGGCAGCTCTGGTCACAGAAAACCTGTCCTTCCATCCTTTAATTTACTCCTCATCTCTAAGGGCAATACCAACTAAAGGCAAATTCTAGGAAACACCCAGAAGACTGATGTTGCTTGGAAATTTGCCTGCCATGCTGTAGTTTCTCTTCACTCTCTCGAAGCTGTGCTCCACATCATGTAACCAAGCTTAACATCGTATTAAAAATCAGAGACATTCACTTACAAGCAGCTATTCCAGCAAACATCTCGGCAAATCTTGGATCTCTCTCCTGGGAGAAGATAGCATCAGGCTTTTCCACAGACTTCCCACCCTCATGAACGTTAGCTTGTATACTTGGAACAGGCACCTGTTGAGATACACCGAGAAAGGTAATTCCCTCCATCGTATCTGACAAAAAGGCATTCAGGGACAGCCACAATGTATTCTTAATTTTGCTGAACTCTGCCATTGCTTTACATTTTAAAAGATCAGAGGCACAAAAATAAGAACTTGAGAAATTTCACCTGAGATAAGTCATAGGATGACAGCCCATCTCTTTGATGCACTTCAAGTTCCGCTTGCTGCTGCTGAAGTTGTCTGAAAAGGAGAGAAAATGACTTTGTTACAAAACCAGTTAAGATACAAAAAGGAACAGCCATGGTCTCCTATCTTCTACTCCAAGTGAAACGTCTCTTGGATGATTCAGTAAATCCTTTCCTGTGACATTCATCTGTTTTTCTGCACCACAGGAATGTAACAGGGCACTTGAAGAGTTTTGCTGTCATAGCAGAGATGTAGCTGGGTACGTAAGGGAGGATAGAACACAACCTCCTTATAGAGGATTTAAGAATTCACTATTAAGACACCAAGAATACCTTCCTCATGTTAACGATGCATATACCAGACCCTTTCACTGCTCCTGCTACTCCAGTAACATTAACGCAGAATTATGCCAGTCAGAAGGAAAAAGTGAGCAAAGCTCTGTCTGAAGCATGTCAGACCAAGTGGAACAACCTGTTGAGCTAGAAAGATCTGCATATAAATCCTTCTTTGTAATAATGTCTATTTACCATGCTTTGGTTCTCTTCATGATCTGAGTCCAGATTCTATTTAATTTTTGAAAGCTTTTAGTAACATTAACGCAGAATTATGCCAGTCAGAAGGAAAAAGTGAGCAAAGCTCTGTCTGAAGCATGTCAGACCAAGTGGAACAACCTGTTGAGCTAGAAAGATCTGCATATAAATCCTTCTTTGTAATAATGTCTATTTACCATGCTTTGGTTCTCTTCATGATCTGAGTCCAGATTCTATTTAATTTTTGAAAGCTTTTAAGGAAGAAATAACTCGTTTGTGTTACTACTTAAGATCAAAACATTACATAAAATCAATCTGTGTTGACAAATGCTACAGAAAGCACAAGTCACCTTTTCCTGTTAATCAGAACTGAACAAAAAATAGCCCTCATTTAAATGAGGTGAGAATCACTGGAAGTAACAGCCTTCATCCAGTTATATGTAGTTAGGAAAAATTAGACGTGCAGCAGCAATAGAAAAAATACTTCAAAAGAGACTGCCAGAGCCAATGAACGTCAGGGGCCCTATGCCAGAACAAAGAACTTCACTGCCCAATCTCCGCAGACCCTTGAAATGCACTTGGTGTTTGTGTTTCGTGTCAGGCACTGTTCCTGAACGACAACAATTAGCCAGTACCAACAGATAAAAACACTGCAAGTTGTGAGAATTAACTGACAGGTGACATTTCTCACAGATGAGGACCTGCAGGGACAGCATGCAAGCGGTTAAGCCAGGCATATACACCTCCCACATGTGCAAGTATTGGCTGTTTATAAAAATGTACACATTTTTTTATAGCTGTAACCTATCTAGCACAGTCATCATCTGAACCCATTTCTTCACTTGCTTTTTTAATTCTGCCAGGACAGAAATTCAAGCTCCTAATTTACAAAAAAAGTTAAATGAGTTACATTAATTGTTCCTATTGGAAATTCTGAATTTCCTTTAACAAAACACCTTCCACACAAAAAGCTACTGTGCAGTACAGTTTATCAGAAATAAAACACAATCCTGTTGAATTGAAAGGCAGAAGCTGTGCCGATGCATTAAGACCCAAACTTTACTGTTAAAATGTGAACTCATGCTTTCTTGTTTGGACTTACACCGTCCCCAGTGTTGTCACATGATTAGCAAACTGTCTCTGTGAGGCTCAGCTGGCAAAGAAGACATGAGCACTCCCAAATTATGCCAAAGCTCAAAGATTAGGATAAGACTGGAATTGGACTGACAAGAAGCAAGCTCGATACTTGCAAATGTTACGTGACAGTGGTCACAGTTTCTTTATGCTTCTGGTCTCTTTCTGAAGGAAAAATCACCTCACGGACAGGAATTACACCCCACATGTCTCTCACCCCAGAGAGACACTACAATGTGACAGATGGTAATAGATGAGATGTCACAAAATAGCAGTATCATGGATTTGGAACTCTAGAAAATTAGGACATTTTGGCCATAAGTTTGAATTTTAAATTTTATTCAAATCCTCTTTTAAATTTGGAACTAGATAGATTTAAATGTCAAGGGGCTGAGAGAGAAAATTGCAGACAAAGTCAAATGACAAACTAGGCACAAACTGATGGGGAATGTGAGGGGCCCCTCAAACAAGCTACTGAAGTCAGTAACAGATCTTTCCATCCCCTGATGCTCTTCCAGAAGACACTTTGCTCAAACACCACTTAGCTTCCATGGCAAATCGGACAAAAATCTGTGACCTGCAACAAAGAGCTCAAAGTAGATGGCCAAAAGCCTTCTGCTAGCCTCACAGTGTAAGAACATGTAACACGCAGAATCACGTATGTCCTATGAGTAACACGCAAAACAAGTCAGTCCTCCAGGTCATTAGAGATGGATTTTCCACATTATTTTAGCCAACAGAAAATTCCGAAAAATCACCTCTGGAATGCAAAGAAAATTCTTTGTTCACAAACATAAAATGCATGCTTTCCCAACCAAACTATGGGGGGTAATTTAATCATGGCAAATCTATCGGGAAGTTTTCCTAAATACCACCCTGTGGACAATAAACACCCATTAAATCCTGTTGTTAACGTGAAAGCTAATTACACCCTTTCGTTTGTTTTTATTCCCGACAACTGGGTGCGTGTGTCAATAAACAGCACATTAGGTCTCTTCTGTTCCGTATAAAGCATGTTTTCTTGATTCAGCCATATACATACAGATGAGCCAAACAAAACAGCATACTTACTCGTTATTTGTTTTGTAGGCTCTTTAACTTCGTGCTCCTTCGCCCTTCTCTATCTTTCATCTCTAATACACGTTAATCTGCAGTACAATATAAATACTGCATTCTGTTAACAGCACTGGACTTTGGGAACAACCTCCCAGATCCATTCCCTATAAAACCCAAATACTTAACGTGTATCTTCACTGAAGCCCGGGCAAGCTATGCTGTGCTTAATTAAGACTGAAACGCAAAGCCATGTTAGCATCCTCTGCTGTTGCTTGCTGCTACTCTATAAATGGCTCAAATGATGCTTGATACCTGAAGGAAACCGTGCAGCAATTCAGGGACCAGCCGGCCAGGGAGAGCCGAGCGCTGCTGTCGTGGTTGCTTCAGACCCTGCACTCTACCCAGTCCTTTCGACATAACACTCAACCCGTGCAGGTCCCTTCGGCTGCCCAATTGCTAGCTTGTTTCTGTAAAGATGATCCACAACAACAGCTTATTACTAGACTGGGCAAAACTCAAACTGCCTTGCAACTCAGAAACCAAAACCCAAACGACCCTTGGTTTCAATTTCAGTGTCACAGCTTCAAGGAGTAAATGAAATAGAAATTTCCTGGCCTTATGCGATACCCAGCGTAGCAGGTAAGGTATTGTCTGGGTCAACAGAGGACTCTGCCTGAGCTGCAGGAACTCCTGGCTCACCCACAGGCTCGGTACGCAACTGGGAATGCCCGTGGCTTGAACATGGAATGGTTCAGCAAATCTGAACGTTTTGATGCTTTATTCAAATTTACATCAGTAAATTTATTGGAGGCAAAGGGAAGATTCTGCAAAAAGTTCCTCTGACATTGGAGAGATAAATTAATCTCTGTGAACACTGAAGCCACCTGTCCCTTCTTCTCCAGGCATCAGAGTAACCAAAAAGGGATTTGAACTTTAACAGTGTCTGTGGTGGGAGAGAAACCCTACTGTGGTATCCTTACCAAGGTAGTTGTATGCAATCCAGGCACAAGAGCTTCCTGCCTCTGGTTTGGACACAAAGGGCGTAAGAAAAGTCCTGGGGCTGCCGTTGTAAAAATCCTCCTTCAGAAAGTCTCTAAATCTCCCTCGTTCAGCCTACAGCTTCAATTCACCCCTGTGAAAGGGTCTAACACCGGTCGGTCCTGAGGACTCCAACAGCCCATGGATGGCACAAAGGTCATGAGAAAGTGTAGCACCACTATAACTACAGACGAGAGTTGTATCAGAACAGTTGATCTTGTCAGTATTTTGGCCCACGAGAACCCGGCACAGAAAGCAGCTCTCCCACAAGCATGGGCTGCCTCCAGTAGTGACCTGCACCAGCACATGCCCAGCAGAACGTCGCGAGCCTGAGAACACCAGCAGGATTCACCCTCAGCAAGTTTGCCGAC